GACATCTCAGGACTAAACAAGGAGAAAATAGAGAGTATGTCAGCTTATAAGAGCCTAATTAACTTCTTTTATCATCTATTTATATATGTCAGAAAAATGAGATGATGTGCCACTATGCAGAAACCTTTCTCAAGTTAGGAAGTAGAACACCCATGCATTTTGGTGATTTCATTAAACACAGGACAGCAATCAGAAGTTGATTAAAGCATCAGAATATCAATCATGTACTTAAAATTCCCAAAAAAAAAAGTCTCAATAGTAAGTTCAATATAATATCTTACAGTTAAAGAGTCAATTAATATCCTCTCTTCAGCAAAAGTTTATTAACAATGTACCTTCTGGAGGATATGCACCTTCTCCCACTTGTCTTGTGATGATCTATATATGTGAACTTCATTATTATTTGGACAGAATGCAACCACTAGAAAGAAACAAATATGTAATTAGAACACTATAGAGAAACCACGAAAGCTATACTATGTGGTATGTAAAATACGCCTAAACAATCAATAACTTAATCGCCATGTCGGTCATTCAATGAAGCATACAAAATTTATGTAAATCTGAAGAATAAAAGTAACCCTCATCAACTAATACAGAAGCCCATTTCAGGCATAACTAATAAGTTTCTAAAACATTTGGCACCAAGGACAAAAAAAATGGAGAAAGCATAGTATATCATATTAGATCGATCAATTCAACTTAAGATGACATAAGGGACAGAATCATTTAGTTTTTGAAAGCTTAAGGGTGTGAAAGAAACCATGGCAGCTTTGACGAATAGGGTAAAACCCATAAGACAATCTATCCCCTGCTTTTGGCTGCTAATAACTAATAGAGAAACTAGCGGACTATAGAGTCATTCTTCAGAGAGTCTTCTGAAATACTAAAGACCATCACAGGGTTATTTACTCCAATTTCAGTCATTTATTGGTGTAGAAAGACAATCCCCAAAGCCCAAATAATGGAATTTGCTTTCAAGGCAGAAGGAAAGCTTTAGGTACATCTACTACTAGTAATGAGAAGATACAACATTCCTTGCAATCTCCCTCAACTTGTCCTTAAACAAGATCAATAAACCTGACTTGTAAACATTAGTTGAAAAGATCAATCAACTCAAAAAGAAGATTTAGCGTTTATCAATTCTGTGAAGCAAGTATGTTGTGATGGTCTTGGGGACCTTATTGATACGTTGTTAGAAATGTAAATAATTTTATATACAAGCTGCACTTTCTTGATGCCATTTCAATATACTTTTTACTTTCAAAAAATCCTATAAAGTAAGTGTAAAAGAAAACGAAAAAATACCTATTACCTCCCGGGGTAGCCAAAATATACTTTGTATAGGAAGATAAATTGCCTTTCAAGAAAACAAAAAAGGAAGATAACAAAAATCTTCATATAAGATTATCACATCTCTTCTAGATCAATGTAATACCCTTCTTTAACATCCTCAGGTTACATAAACTTAAGCCAGTTACACTCTTGAAGTTCAAGCACCCGCAGAATTACACGTTTGAAGTTATAGTTTTATCCATTTCTCGAACCCACCGCCAATTATCTAACGGTTCCACTAATTAAACACCAAAATGATTCATATCGAGTTCCTTGGTATATTTGACCTCATATGCATCGAAACGAATCAGCAAAAAAGAACTTATTAAACGTTTTCGGAAACCAAAGGAAAAATGACATATGAACCAAAAGATAAAAGATAACCGATATTTTGAAACAAAAAAGGGAAAACAATCAAACAATCATACAAGTTCAATCATGGACCGGCCAAGATCAGATTTGCAGCAGAGAAGAAACCAGTTGGAGATTATCTTCAATCTCCCTGCTCATTTTACTCCAATTTCCAACTAAACAAACAGAAAACCAGAAAAAAAAAGATCTATAATGAAGGGAAAGGTACTTGTGTTATCAGGACTCCAGGCATGGCAAGTGATGCACTCAGCAAACTGGTGAACGGAGACCGCTGCCATTTCCGCTTTCCGGCAGAGAATACGAAACTAGATTCTTACGATCGTCTCTAAATTTCAGAGGGATGAACCAGAAATTTTTGAGTAGATTGCATGGAAATAAAGAACTGAACCTGTGACGAGATCCAAAAGGAAATTTTGAGGGGAGTGTACTCCTGACCCGAACCCGTCTGTAACCGGGTCATGTGTCAATTAAGCAACGAATTCTTTTTTTTATTCTTATTAACGATTTAATTATAAAATATTTGTAATAAAGTTTCAATTTTTAAAAAATAATTATTTATTTTTTACAACCAACATTTTATATAAACACATAATTACTTAAATTTTATAAATTTCATAAAATTTAAATTTTTTTACAATTTATTTTTCATATTTTTTATATATTTTAAATTTCCAATTATATTTTTTAATGAAAACACTAAAATAATTAGATATATTATAAAATTATTTTTCTAATTACTTTTTTGAAGTGCATAAATATAACCTAATCACTTTAGTTTTTTAATTAATCTTGAATTAATTATTTTATTTTTTTAATGAAAATATTTTATAAAAAAAATTATAATATTCACAAAAAAAATACTAATATCCACATAATAATAATAATAATAACAATTCAGCTTCCAACATAATTTAACCCCTGCATAATATTTATTATATAATCAATATCGAGTTCTACTTTTTTAAAAGATCGAAGATTATATTAAATATGAATTCATTATAATTATTTCAACTAAAAGAATTTATCTATTACAAAATATGACTTTTGTCAAATCAATATCAACTAAAAGATATGGTTTATGTACAAATGAGCAATGTGGTTGTCCAGCACCCATCAATGGAAGAACAACCCATTTTACAAAGATAGATTTCAAAGAGCCTACTCTTGGGTGTTCTGCAGATCCAGAGAGTTGTAAGCAGGCTTGTCTTCAGAATTGTTCCTGTAAAAGCTGCTTTGTTTAGGTATGGCTGGAACTCTTCTGATGGGTCTTGCTATTTACCTTCTCAAGTTCTTACACTTATAGCTAATGAGAAGGAAGAGATCTGTTATAACTCTAATGTATTCCTCAAGGTGCAAACAATGGGATTGTAGTAAGATTAAGATATGTTTTTGGGTCTTTCTTTGGTTTTGATTTTGTTTGTTGGGGTGTTTTGGTTTTGGAAGAAGCAAGTTTGGGGAAGAACTTGAGGAAGATTTTTCGGATAAAATATCAGGAATGCCTACAAGATTCACTTGTGAGGATCTGAAAACTATTACTGAAGGTTTTACCAAGGTTCTTGGTAAGGGAGGATTTGATTCAGTGTTTGAAGGGACTCTATCTGATGGCGCGAAAGTTGCAGTAGCAGCTAGAAGGTTTTGGGAAAATCAAGAGATCTTTCTTGGCAGAGGTGGAGACAATTGGCAGCTCTCGTTTACGAGTTCATGGTTAATGGGTCCTTAGATGATTATATCTTCTACAAAACCCAGGAGCTTATTATACTTGATTGGAAGCAAAGAAAGAAGATCATCCTTGACATAGCAAAGGGACTAGCATGCATGTCTTCAAGAAAATTGCAGAAAGAAGATAATCAAACCCGGGAACATCCTCTTAGACGAGACTTTTAACGCTAAGTCTCGGATTTTGGAAAACTCCCATTGATCTGGATCACTCTTCCTAAATCCCTGATCAAGAACAGTTCAAGCTCCAATTAGTAAAAAAGATTTACAAACAAGCAAACAAGCACATTAACATGGAAAGTTAGCAAACTAAAGAAAGAAAATGGAAAGACACATCAAATAAGAAACAAACTAATATGAACTTTTACCAATTGATCAGACATGAAACTGTTAATTTGGCTGCTTGTGCATATGCATAGAATAGAATATGCTAGAAACGAAATTTAATCAAACTAATTGCAACAAATTCAGATAATTTAACTTTTATTAAAACAGCACGAGGAAGCTACTTCAGTTCTAGCATTTTCAAACCCGAAAGACTGGTTTATTTAGCTTGGACATAATAACAGCAGAGCCCAGTGCACGATGACACTTTAACCAAATGCACAGCGCATGCAAGTTTGAGATACTATGACAGATGAGATCCCTGTTCTCAGAGAATACCTGCATTTGAGTGATGCTTGCTTCTGTATTTGCAAGATTATCCAGATTATTCAACATAATTGTAAGTCGTTTCCTCGCTTTGGATATAGTTGATGAATTGAAGAAAAACAAGTATTACCCAACAAGTAATAAAAGCTAAATTTGAAAAAGAAACAAAGGGGGGACTTGCTAAGTATTAAGCTGCCTTACAAAGCTCGAAAAATTGTTGTGCTTGAAATACTTGGGAAGCAAGTCTTTAGCAAACTCCGGTGGATTCCAGACAATGAAAATCACAAGATCCAATCAAAGATGCCAACAAATTGTTTTTTTCAGCCTATCACCTTGGTCCTGATAGAACAGAAGGCAACAATGGAGTAGCATCACCTGGTTGTACATGTTGGTAAGCTAGTTCTTTAATATCTTTGGGTAACTCTGCACTGCACAAGTTATAATCTAGCTCACCTTCAACATCCATCACTCCCTCCAAAACCTTCACGACCATTGACATCGAAGGTCTCCTTGCAAAATCTCTCTGCAAACACCATACAGCCACTTTCATCATTTCCACAGCTTGTGCTCCATTGAACTGCATATCTTCACTCATTTTATCAACAAGATCCAACAATTCCCCCTCTTTCACTTTCTTCTCAAAAACACTCAACAAATGCATTGCTTCTTCAGGTTGGAAGCGATCCAGATTTCGTCTCCCGCATAGTGTTTCCAATACCACAACTCCAAAACTATACACATCTACCTTCTCAGTTATGAATGAGCTTAACCATTCAGGAGCTAAATAGCCAGGAGTTCCTCTAAGGGTTGTGACAATCTCATTTTGACCTCGGTCAATGAGTTTTGACAAACCAAAATCCGAGACCTTAGCATTAAAATTC